GCGACACTCGCTATAAATCAAACGAGGAGTGAATCGTCTTCATCATAACTGGAGCTGGTTCATTACTTATAATGCGTGTATTGTGTGGAGGTCTTTGTGTGTGAGTGACTCCAGGACTGGTCTGCTCCGGGACCTCAAAGGAACTAATCAATAGTAATATGAAGGGAGCGGATCATAACTCGCTTTGTTAACGAATAATTTGATTAAAATTTGACGGCTCCTTCCGCCTCGTGAAAAAATAATAATATAAAAATAACACAGGAAACTACCAAATATAAGGGTAATTCAATTACTAGCTATAAAATAACCGACCGGCTACGATGAGCCGCGAATAGGGGTTTCTTCAATCATTACCTTCTGAGAGGACGGCTCATGTAATGCTGGTGCTCGTACAAAGGCCGCGCTGCTATAGAACAGTTAATAGTAGGTTCTGTAGGTATCATGTCGGTGTTTATGGCGGACGCCGGCGGAACTCTAAACTCGATATTTCCGTCCGTATCACTTTTTATTTCGGATCACGTTTGGAGAGATTCAAAACATGCGAAAACACAATCATTCTGTTTTATAGCTCGTCTAGACATTACATTTGCTTAGCTTCCAACGAACTTTATACAAATTTCCCTACATATTCGTAAACCTATCTTTGTAAGGACTATATTCTTAGAATGTAATATAAACTTTACTTCAAGAATAAACTCTAATCTCATTCAATGAGAGTGTCTATTTGTTTGTCATGTTTTTTGGTACCTTTCTTTTTATATACATTAATATTATTCCTATCAATCGTCTGTTTGTATCATACTATTTTTAGCCGGTAAGTACATTACTTCAGTAAATCCTTCTAGTATATTCCAGTAGTTCGTATTAATGTATTTAAGCGCCGTTTTCTTCATCATTGTCGGCGTCTCAAACAATCTTCCGAACAATTGTTTAACCATTGATACGATCCTCTCAGTACTATACAGCGCGGTGTCACGGCGGCGCTTCAAGAACATTTCATACAAATTTAATTTTTCATCCAAATAACTCTTATTTTTAATGGGATAAAGTCGTATTTTAAATATTTCGGTTTGAACATAAAGTTGTTATACATAATTCCCATTTAATTGAATTCTAACTTTATTTTAATATTACTAAGATTCATATTCCGTATTGAACATGTTCCTTCGTGCTAGTATCGTATCAACTGTGTCATTGTATTATAGTCTTTATGTGTATGTAGTTAAGGTCCTCGCCTCTAACTGCCAGTATCGTATTTCCCGTATTGTCAGTAGTAGTAGCTCGGCGTCTTTGTACTAATATCCGTATTTTGATCTATTCGCAGATTTCGTTTCCAATTGTTATATGTTAAATACGTTCGTGACACTTTTTCTTTCTTTTCTTGAATGCACGCTTCTCTTGTGTCGTCTCCAGGGTCTGCTTGTTATTTTTTCTAATAGTTTTTGTATCTACATTTGATACTGTACATATCATGGGCACACAACTGCCAATGTTCCACTTGTTTGTTCCTTGTAATTATTCAGTCTTCCTGTTTGTTTTCGTCATCATACTATGAATATTTTTGTGAATAAAGATTATTATTATTATTAATTGATCGTGAGTCTCCTTCTTACTTCTAGTATTTCTCCATCTCTCTCTGTATATGTCATCATTTTCATCTGCACCTATTCTTCCCTCCTCAGTCCTAACTCTCGTCTCATGTACAGTATTAATATTTAATACAAGATATATTTTTGTTAAACAAACTTCTTTATACTACTGTGTTATGTACAAGCTGTGTCTAGTACGTTGTAATCTATTTATTATAGTTTTCAGACCACTCTTAATACAATATAATGTTTTGTCTCAAATAATAATGTTTCCTATACATATTAGGGGAGAGTTGGTTATATCGTACTAGCATTTAAATCGTACCACTTCTAAATTTCCCATTTAATGAATATTTTTTTCTACACTGACAACAACAAATCGTGGCCCTGTACCATCCCTCTTCACCCACTAGTTTAAATCGACGTGAGTTAACAACTGTGCACGTAATAAAAGAAAAACAGTTTTTGTAAGAATTAATATAAATATTGTCGTACATTCATAAGGAGATAACTCGTAATCAAGGTAAGGAATAGTTATTCAGTTTTTTTATTATTCCACAATTGTATACTAGATTATTGGGGGTCTTTGTTGCGTGTCTAAGTTTTGAGTTTATGCCGGATTTTTGCTTTTGTTTTAGAAATGCCTTAGTTGGTTTAATCGTACCACTTGCAGTTGGTTAAATTGTACTGGTACGATTTACCCGACTACCAACCGCAAGTACCTATAGTACTACCGCAAGTACGTATAGTAAGTACTACCCAAGGCTAAGAACAAAAGTTATAAGAGGAAAAGATCTCATTCCATCACCAGTAGCGATGATTCAAGAGAGACACTTGTTGTAGAACTAGATGACGATGATGACAGCGATGATTATCTAGAAAATATATGTCGAAAGTGCAATTGTTCTTACTACGACAAGAAGGGTCCAAAAGTTGATTGGATTCAATGCGTTCGCTGTAAACGGTGGCTACATGAGACAGTTACCTACTTCGAATCCAGACATTTGTCATAATTGTTTCCATTAAGAAATATGCACAATAATTATATTACAAACTAGTTTTTGCCCGCGACTTCGTCCGCGTTTATTTCGTCATTAGTAATATAGGAATAGCTAACCGGGCAAACTCTATCCCGTCTTCAATAACCCGGTATTGGTATTTATTAAATTTCTGCTGTTTCAATCGAACAGAATGATTGACATATTAGTTAGTTGTCAAGTCTAATGTCTAAAAATTGTTTGTATGGGAAATAGAAAAGGGCTGTTTTTAGGGTTTTCCCGGCAATTTTTCCAATTTTTCTCACCTTTTAAACCTTCCCTGAACTTCCAGGAGTATTTCAAAACTAAAATTAGCCAAATCGGTTCAGCCGTTCTCGAGTTTTAGCGAGACTAAGGAACAGCAATCCATTTTTATATATATAGAAGATAACATTCTTGTGAACTGTTACTTTATTATTATAGTTTACTGCTTTTTTTTTGTCTCATTTTTATTAGTTATGTTGATTGATCACATTATCATAGTATAATCATGTTATTTTACTGAGAAAGCTTATAGTTCCTTTATATAACTTAAGAGTTAAAAATTATGTTTCTATTACCTAAAAGATATAAATAATGTTGTTTTATTACTTACCTAAGAGTTAAAAACAAATAATTTCATTGAGAATTTTAATGTCTTTCATTCAGTGGTACGACTTAAACACCCATGGTACGATTTAAAGACTTAGTGGTACGATTAAAACGACTAGTCGGCTAAATCGTACCGATGGCAAGCCTCTATAAAAAAGCACTTTTAACAATGTTAGAATAATCACAAGGATCTGTTCTCTCCTTCTTAGGAAGCTAAAATATCAAACTTTATTTTACATATGTATTAATTATTATAAGACGTGTTATAATAATTAATACATATGTAAAATAAAGTTATTTGAGTTAAAGTGAAAAGTGGTACGATATATCCGACTCTCCCCTATATATGTATGTATATATCTTTGGATATTTTTTTTACATCATTTATATTGTCTTATTCGTTTAATAGATTCTGATGACTTAATCGACGTAGGTTCATAATAAAATTTATTATATACATAAATAAGTACATGCTCGCGCCGCTATTTCGTCTGCATTTATGTTTATGTTCAAAAGACCAAATGTTAGTTGACGAGTAATGCCTATTACCATAGTTATTTCTTAAAAATGTAGTAACTATATATTTACACTGATTTGCTCGTGATCACGGTTGCTGAAAAGTAACCGAAACGTCGGGAGTAGGTACGCGATTTAGTTTTACAAAAATAAAGTCGCGTAGTACAATCCGAAAAATACTAGTTTCATTTAAATGAATAAAACTCACGAAAATCTTAGATCTTTTAACTTTATATTTAATATAGATGTCTGTGTGTCTAAACTAAAATAATTATAAGCACAATGTAGTAATAAGTATATTTTATAGTATCTATATAACTTGGTTAATCTTTCAAAACTTATTGTTCATAACAATATTTTATTTATCATATAATAATAACACCTATATAATATATACATATGTATTTCTAATTCATTGATTCTCTGTTATGTTTGTACGTAACGTCGTTTCCGTCAAGTTTCTAAGTAAATTATTTGATACAATCTCATCTATATATATCGGAGATGTTGACACATTAACGAGCGATAATAGACCTTAATGTGAGGACGTTAAGGTTCAGCGACAGAGACTAATTGGCCGTGAAGAGATCTCACGAGCCTTAAAGCTGACAAATAGTTAATTAAGGTTTGAGTACATCAGGTGATAGAAGAGGAGCTCGACTTATATAAACAGAAATAACGATATCATAATGAAATCTATCATAACATTATTATAACTCTTTATTAACATGATTTGTTCTAATTTTAATGATAGAGAACTAAGTTTTATATTTATGACAAAACGAACAAATAATATCATACAAGGCTAGGTTACTTTTATAGCACCTTCTATGAAGAGTATTTCATGTAATTATTAATATGTTAAATGAATGGTTTTTGTTGTTCTAAGACTATTAAGAACTCTCCTATAATATAGAGAGAGGACTCCACATACACACACACACACACAGAGAGACAGACGTACACACACACATATATAGAATGTAATATCTATTAATATAAATTGTAAGACTCTGGGGAAGATGTACCTACACATTAAATAAATGTGTAAAATGACAAAATATTATTATTTGTATAAGGAAAATGTTGAAAAATCGTTTTCGTTCGTCTCGCAACGACAACATTTCAAACACAATCTCCAAGCAGACCCGAGACCCCTCCTCGCGAACTCCTCAGAACAGATGAGGGTCTTTTTGAATCTGGTTAATAACGGGTAATAATGGACCTTCCGCCCTCCGGCAACAATAACACCGTCACGAACAGATCACTAATCAATAGTTAAACTGTAACTCGATACATTTGCATCAAATCGTCGGTTACGAGGCCAATTAGAGTGCGGCACGTGCGCGGCACGGACGCGGCGCGGACACGGCACGAGCCGCCGCGACACACGACACGCGGCCCACAACTGTTTAGCGATGTTTGACTTGTGTTTCATTAGATACATTATACTCATACTTGAAGCTGATTTCACGCAATATGTTTTACGGATCACTTGGTCTATACAGGAGAGCTGGCTCTAACAAAAATACGGGGTTTTAATGAATTAATTCCTACTAATATTATTAATGCGAAATTAACTCTGTCTGTCTGTATGTTACGCTTTCACGGCTAATCCACTGAACTGATTTTAATGAAATTGGGTACAGAGATAGAGTTGACCTTAAGAAAGAACATAGGATAGTTTTTATTCCAGACTTTTGAATGGTTCTCTTGGAAACGCGATATAACCGAACTCCACGCGGGCGAAGCTGCGGGCGGAAAGCTAGTTGTTAATAATCTGGACTTTGGAGAGCTACAAACAAATCTTCGTCTCTAACATTTACCTATATATTGAGGTCCCGGTCATATTCCAACTTAAACGTTTATATGCTCATTACATTTCTATAGTAGTAAGTAGTTGTATTCATTACATACACTGTACGTATATTATTCATATATATAGAGGATCCAACAATAGTGTAGTTGTTCGCGGTTAATATTACAATTTAATGATGTTTTTTGTATGTCTGTGAATGTCAAGGGGACTGTATTTAATCCTAATTACTTTTGAGCCCCAAACAAACGTTACTCGGGATGGAGCGGTAATAACAAAGAGCTTTATTGTTCATTATGTGTCACAAAACTTACGGTCGACGGAGAGAAGACTGACAGATATTAATAAAATAATAGAAACGACCGGCGCCCGACGTAATAATATAGCAAACTTAACACAGATACATTTATAGAGAACTAGCGTGGAGTTCGGTTATAACGTGTGTCCATGAGAACCTTTCAAAAGTCTGGGATAAAAACTATCCTATGTTCTTTCTAAAGGTCAACTCTATCTCTGTACCAAATTTCATTAAAATCAGTTCAGTGGCTTAAGCTTGAAAGCGTAACAGACAGACAGACAGAGTTATTTTGGCATTTATAATATTAGTAGGGATAACTAAAATAAAGCACCTGTGATATTAAAATATCATTATGCAGACATGAGTCATTGCGATAATAATATTGAATATACATTTATACATAAAACATTGTATTTTTTATGATTAAAAAGCAATCCATTACATTACAATGTTGTGGAAGTATTTAAAAACGAGCGGACCGAGTCGCGGGCTTTAATTACTGTTGGCCTGATTGGAAACACGGTTTAGTGGTTAACGTGTTACAAACACACATACATACATAGAAATATATAGTAATAATACTAATATAATGATAAACATCTTGGGTGATAAGAAGTAAATTTACAATCAAGTCTCGGTATGTACCTATAGTAAAAAAATATTAGATTAAATTGGATTAAAAATAACAACTTAACATGTCCTAATTGTCGGTTATATTTATCTATATACAATTTTATTTCTATATAAATTAATAAATTTCTATGATATTGTCTTTCTGTTACATAATACATTGTTGTAGAACTGTTTAAATGTTTTTCGGTTGATAGAAACAAATCGTAAGTATTCCCTTTTAATAAAAACTCGACTCGACTATTAAATGCTGACTAGTGACTGTTAAATATATGGAGTTTAAATATCTGGTAATCATTTGAAGAGTCGCTTTATTAGAAGTCAGCAAACAAACTGTTAGTAGAGAGACCGGGAGGACAAATAAGGCCGCGTGCGCACCTACACACACATAACACACTCACTGAAGGACCAGGGCTAGCACTGACTGGAACATATTGTAATAATATTGATACTATATTAATGTATAGTCATATAAAAAAAATCAAGTTTGCTATTGAATTGAATATGTATTGATCTAACTGTACTCCGTATAAAAATTACTTATATGACATGTTTTAAAGTGATGTTCTTGAGATTTTGAAGAGATACTAAAATCTAAATAATAATATATATATGTTATATATATATATAGTTTAGTATGTAGGTATATATCTGCCTCTCCGACCACAGCCCTAGGTTCATAAGAGGGGTGATGCAATGTTTGCGCGACCTCTTATTGAATTTGTACAAAGATATTGGCCTTTAATTGCAGGGGCGACCTCTGACCCGCGCCCTACCAGCGAATAATATAGAGACAAAGAAACGTACTTGGTGTAGAAATAATATAAATATGTTTAAAACTATAATTTATTATCTCTATAATAGTAAGGAATACAATGACATATATATTAATATAATATCAAACAACATATACATATGTATATATGTCTGTATACGCCTCTGCTCATGTTCCCGTTAATATTTTTGTAACTAATTTGTGTTCAATTTCATTCAGTTTTATTTTAAGTCTTTATTTGTGCCACAAAGCGACCACAAATTGTCCAATCACAGAGCCACAGTCAATATTGGCTTCTATTGTATTCAGTTAGAGACCTTTTTCCCTCGAAGTCCCGGACACTTAGGCTGTAATGAAATTGTATAACAAATAAACGATGTGAAGATCGAATAAAATTAAGAGTTCGTCATCCCGTTTTCAATTCTATTACAATAAAGTTATAGTTGAAGATTGATCGCCGACAATAAGAGGGTGTCGGGGCGGCTCCTACGAAACTAGACCTTATGTGTGTGTGGGAGAGTCGAGAGTCGGCTGGGCGAGTGTCACGTTAAGGGGACGTCATGCTGTTTGTCGAGAGTTAATTTAGTTGTGGATTAACTTAGTTTGAGTGATTGATGTTTTTAGACTCGCTTTTGATGCGAGTTTGCGGCTGCACTAGTCGCGCCCCCCGGGGCCGCCTCAGGTTCATAGTAATTGTCGGTTAGAGCGGCTCTGCTCGCGGGTAAGAGATTCATATTAAATATCATAGTCGAGCATCAAACAAGGTTCGTTCAGGCGTGGCACTGTTCAATATGTCTGTTTACGAGCCTGCTGCACCGTCGAAGCCTTATACTCCTCTATATATACGCTAATAAACCTATTCCATTCACATTTAATTCTGCGAACATTTTTTAACTACTTCTATGTTAGTTTAACTAAAGGACGTGTTTAACTGTTCACTTAATATAAATAAATCGTCTTAGTTGTTGTTATATACAGTATGTATATACTCTTCTCCCCGGCACCTACCGTCTGTCAGTAACATCAAACCAACTCTTAATATGAGTAGTTCTGAGGAGTCACCTGCAGCCCTCGTCCGTCAACTCCACGCTCCTGAGACCTCCCCTTAAGATGTTACACCCGTCACTATGAGTATCAACTCCAATGGAAACCAAACCTTCATTTATAACAATAGAGTTCCTTTTGGGTGTTCGTGACCCAGGGACTTAGGCCGTTCTGTTTCCGCGATCAAGGTTATTGGCTAACTTTTGGTCCACGGGCTGCATCTAAGATGGCGATGGTCGTTTATCTCTTTTGCTCGTATAGTTTTTTGGGTATCGCCGTCTCTGTTTGTTTCTTGAAAGAAGTTCCGTCGGGAGGGAAAGGGACGAGTGAATTCGTAAAGTAAATAAAGAGGTATCGGAGTCGATCGATGGAGTCTGTTGGCTGTTGACGGCTGGTCTGAAGCTTGCCAGGTCCTTTGATATGGCAATAATACTAACTAACTTTAGAAATCATGTTATTAACTACATGTATTCTCCAAAAAAATCATATATTCCTTCTACTAAAATGTCTCCTCTATGACGATCCTCACTTTCCTAGCAAAGGAATAATCCGAATCGTTTTTTGCGCGAACATTTCTGCAACAAGACCAATACACTTCAACCATAAACCAATCGAACGTATCTGTAGTCGACACAATAAAACAAGTTTCGTTCCCGGTATTGGCTGTATTTTTTTCTTCTGTCTGTTTGTTATTGATTGCGGACAGACGGACAGACGGCTGACGTGAGGCGTAGTGAACACTGACAGGGAAAAAGAAAACTTTGAGGTGGAAACATATGAAAATATAACATAGAAATATAAACTATTAGGACCTACTTCAGACATAAAATGGTTTATCTAATTCCAGCTCCATATATAATTTAATTGTCCGAGAGTAATCTCATTAAAACACATAGTTTAATTCACATCAATATTTCTGTTTGTTTCAACAACACACAGTCCGATCATCACCCGACGATGTGTTTAACACACAACAAATATTAAATTTACAAATATTGTTGAAGGTACAGTTTCATTTTTATTTTTAATGTTCAGCGTTTTTTTAGTAATCTTACAAAACGGCTGATAATACTGACTATAGGTACTTCTATTTTTCAAATACAAATTCATACTTAAATGTTGCATACAAAATTACAATGTTTCAGTACTATAATAAGTTATGATCAATCATAAAAATAGTTCTAAAGATTATTGTTTGTTATAATTAGTACGGCAGAGACAACGCCACAATATATCTCCTGTCTTCTGTACAAACTGTTGATTGTGCCTATTATTATATTTTTAAATGAAAATTACATTAGGTAAAATATGTAAATTAGATATTACAAACAGTAAATTAAGTGTAAGCGGTAATATATCTCCTTAAAATATAAAATATTTAATTGTCCAATTCTCATGACACACGGAGCTTTAATACCAGAGGTCGTTAATTCTTATTATGTTATTATATTATTAATTTGTATTTAATTGTTATTAATATAATCAAACACAAATTATATCTCCATTAGTTCTTCTCATATTCTAACATACTACAGATCTCTCTTCCTCATACATCACAGTCGCAGGTCGTGTTTTCATCTCAGGAAGTTCCTCACACTTCTCTCGTTATCTGAGGAAGTCTCAATATCTCCCCCCTCCTCCCTCCTCCTCACGCCTCCCTCCCCTTCCCCCATAGCTTCCGATCTAATAGCGCATTTGTCTGTCTGTCAAACTTGTACGGATGTTTTGATACAATGAGGGAAATTCTTACAATCTAATAATATTTAACACCTTTTGTTTATTAGAGACGGTTTCATGTACCTATTTTATGAAATAAACGTTTTTTGTCTATATCTTCAATTGATATTTGGTAGGAGAGAATCAATTAAAATCACTTTATTTTATTGTAACGATTTAACATCGACTAACTTTTCATAGTAGTTGATATTAACTTTGTTTTAAGTCCTATTAACTAAATATAACACTCCAAAATTCCTTCCCAATTAAGTGACTCCAAGGTCAGCGTCTACATCACGTTATGTCAGTAATGCCCATGTTTTATGTAAGGGTAAGTGTACTGTATAATGTTAAGCACGCAACTCCCGGCGGACTAATTAGTCGCGCGGCATTCTTCACTTAACGCTATTCAATTACGTTTAAATGTTGTAAACGGATTAATAAAACTCGCTTTGTATCGAAAGAAATAAACAAGTAATGTAAATAACGAACAAAGAGACTCTATATGTTGTGAGGATCCACAAAAAATGTTCCGTGAATGTTTTAATCCGCAACAAACAGCTCGACAAAAGGGAATTCGATTCCGATATAATTGATACAAAGTAACACATGTTACTGCGGAGTCGATTTGTCGGCCGATTAACGTTTAAAGAGTGTAGTGTAACTCAATTACTGGGAATCCATCGCTACACCGCGGGGCCTCGCGTCCTTTAAAACATCAACACACACTGACATCTGTCATACTTAGCCTCGTTATTGTTGTGACGTTTTTTGTGACAGTTGTTTGAGGCGGTGTTTGTGTTATTGAATCGGACGCTCGGTGAGATTTTATATTATTTGATTCATTACTAGCCGGGGTACGACTCTGTTAGGGCAGCGGGTCTTAGTGAGCGACGATGATTGAGTTTCGACTTCAATTACCTAGAACATTAATGAACAGTCAGTTTCTTTATTCGGTCATAACCTGTATCATTCATATAATTTTCATTGTTATAGTCTTTCCAACTGTTAGTCAGAGTGTGTGTAACTTGTAAGTGACATGAAACTGTTCGCGGTCACGAGTCGTGCCATCGCTCGTTATATTGACGAGACCGACTCACGGTATACTTTAAATAACAACAACTCATTTGTTTTTTATTCTGTAATAAAGCTTGTTTGTGTGAGTGCTTCTTTTAAACTACGTCAAAAGTTACTACAGATGAAGCAACATGCAGTTTCAAAAATTATACTCATTTTAGAAAAATCTAGAAATTCGGCCAAACTTAACCATTTTTCAGTTACATATTGTTATTAATTTTTGTTATTTTTTTTCATTTAAACTCTGGAATCGTAACCCTAAATACGATTTCTAAAACCACTGTCAAAAATAATGACACAATTGACCCGAGTCTTCTAAGATTAATAATATTTGTGAAACTATGATTTTAATATTTAAAAACTAAGTCGTGTTGTGTCGCGTGACGTCTCACACACACCCCGCCCCCCGCCACACTCATTTGTTTTTATTAATTATCAAAAACTTCGGCTCCGTTTGTTCTTATAATTAGATTTCCGTTTCCTCGTCCTTTTATAACCTCACTGTGTTTTTATAACAGTTATAAATTTTCATAACAATTCATTATAGTCGCGAAGTTAAGGTTTTCAGATCGAATATTCGTAATGTGCTGACTATGTTCTAATAATGAAATTAATTTATATTACAAATTAATCACAAATATTATATGACAGAAATGATTATATTTGTTTACAGATTGATGTGCCAAAAATAGATTGAATAATATACTCATTACAAAGAGGAGTGATGGATAAAAAGACATAGTAAAAATTTTACCATACGTTATATTAATAAGCCTTATTTTGTTCTATGAGTATCATAATGCATGGTGTCATGATAGGAAGTATCTCCGCGGGTCACCATCAGTCTTCATAATGTTCCCTCCACGCGGCTACCCTACATGCGTTACAAAACTTTTAATGTGAAACATAAATCAATTGTAATCGTGCATTTATATTAATGTATGAATTAAAGTTTTTATTGATATACATAAGTAAGAATTTGGTGTTTAATAATTTTATTAATAAGTAATAGAACGTGTGGTGTTAATCAAATCGTCATGTTTTTTTGTTTTTATTTTCAAGTTAAATAGTCTCATTATAACTAATTGGATTATGGAACATATTGTTATTATTGTTGTAATCACTACATCGTTTTAACTCTCACTACCTTATAAGTGAGTTAGTTCTTTCCGTTCATATCTTTAACAAGTTTTAATACGTCTCTGAGTCGCATGTCCCGCCGAATTGAATCGACTGGGTCACGCGATCATATTTATATTTCACCCCCAAATATATCATTTGACACTAGCAGTTCACGCTGACTGTACAACTTATAACATGAAGAACTCGATCGAGTTTGAACTTTATTTATATGAGAGTAGAGATTAATTTGTTATGTATGTGTACAGTGTCTGTAGTATGTAGTCGTGATTGTGTTAGAGTTAGTCACACGCTTGTCTTCAAAGTTTCTTCAGTTCAGTGTTGAGGAGTCGTTTTGTGTGTGATTTACTGTGTGGAGCTAGTTTTTGTGTTTATTATATGAGTTGTATGGATCATCAATTACCGTCGACTTTCACTTGTATTAGTAGCTGTTCATAGCGGGGTGTCGCTGATCAGGAGTATAACAGTTTGAAAACTGTTTACGACGGGGGAAAGTTTGGTGGAAAGACAATCGCTTTGTGTTTATGACCTGTTAGCATTCATTTATATCGGAACTTTAGCTATTACGTGCACCAGAATAAATGTAGGCCCTAATACTTTGATACTAGACATAGAAGAAATGTTATGGCTTATTGTGACGTGAGCGATTATTTTTATAACAGAATTAATACAGACAGGAGCTTGTATCGTAGGTTTAAAAAACTAGTAAATCTTTGTAAAGTAGTTGTGGTAGCCTAGTGGTTCGAGGCCCGCCTCTCGTGTAGTTATTTCGGGTTCGAAACCTGGCAAGTATCAATGTGATTTTTCCGAGTCCGAGATATCACTGACTGATGAAGTAAAACATCGTGAAGAAACCTTTAATTATAATTTCCAAATATAAGTTTGATATCACCAACCCGTCTTGAGCAAGCGTGGTGATTAATGCTCAAACCTTCTCCATGTGAGAAGAGGCTATGCTCTTTAGTAGGCTCTGATAGACTGACGATTAGTATTATTATTATTATATTGTATTATTATTGGTAGTATTTTTTGTTTCCCCTTTTGTATAATTCAAGTAAAAAGAAAAAGTTGTGTTAGGTTAATAGAAAATACTGTCCTTTTCCATGCCGTGTAACTTTTAATTGAAACAACACTTAGCTAAAAAATGTAATAACCTTTATTTTTAAAACCTATAAATGGTGTATGTTTGTAAGTTATCCTTATATATATAAATAAATAAATAAATGATGATGATGAATGTTTGTGTATTCTCAGGTGTGGTTTCAAAACCGTCGCGCCAAGTGGCGTCGTCAAGAGAAGATGGAGGCGGCCCGCCTGGGTCTGTCGGAGTACGGGGCGCCGGTCCCCAGACTGACGGGCCTGGGGCTGCCTGTCGACCCCTGGCTCGCCCCGCCACTACTCACAGCACTACCTGGTGAGATACACACACTCATATTAAATTGTTTATATAATATATGAGATAAATACAGTAATACCCCGCTTTACGCGAGGAATACTTTCCGAAGAAAATCGTGTTAACTGAAATTCGCGTATATCGGGGTTTATGATTAAACACAGTCAAAATTTAAAACACAAATATAAAAATCATTTTAATCAATCACTTTAATTTTAAGAACACTATACAATACTTAGATACTCCTATTTTTTACGAAAAAATACATGTAGGTATTGTCTTTTGGTTAGCGTTTTGTTTACGTTCTTGTAAAATAAGTTCATAACACCCAACACTGTTTTTAATTGTTTGACACACGGTCAAGGCGCGGTCATCATTATTGTCTATACTCTGCAATGTGTCCAAATCTGAATAAATTTTTGAAATTCGTGTTATAGTGAAACCGTGCACAACGGGGTCGCGTTAAGCGTGGTATTGCTGTATATATACCTATATAAAAAAAAAACCCCCTGAGTTTCTTTCGCCGGTTCTTCTCAGGTCAGGGTATAATCTTTTCCGAACCGGTGGTAGTGTCTCAAGTGACCATCAATAACAAAGTGTAATGCTTCTATATTGAATAAAGTTATTTGAGTTTGAGTATAGTAGCACAGACTAGACTACAAATAGTGACTCATCCATGTTGATTAGACTACACTTCCTTTTCTTAGACTAAACTAGACATGATTTACTTAAGTCTATTCTTCTTAAGAAGGGTAACATATTATTAGTATTAAATTGAGACCAATTTCAGATAAACTACGAAAAGTTTTGCTATAAGTATATAGAAAAGTTTGATCGATAGAAATGATTTATTTACAAGGTAGTGGTTCCTATACCCGTTATACAGAGATAAATATGTTTGTTTGTTACGATTTTAATGAATTTTTAATTGTAGATATTTTAATATTGTTTCATAGTTAACGGCTAAGCATATAAGAAATAAAATCTATATTTTCAATTTGAATTTCTCCAATAGTTTACTTACATACTCTATATAAAGTTGTCTTGACTGTCTAAGAGATAAAATCTATAAAATTTCAATTTGAATTTCTCCAGTAGTTTACTCTAGGTATTCTATAAAGTTATTCTTACTGTACATACCTCTTCTTCATCTTATGTTTCATTATCTCCCGCAGGTTTCCTGAGTCACCCCCCCTCCGGGTACCCCTCGTACCTCACCCCTCCCGCTCCCCCTCCCTCCCACACCCCTCACACGCCTCACCCCCCCGCACCGTCCGACCCCCGCTCGTCCTCCATCGCCGCTCTCCGACTGAAGGCCAAGGAACACGTGGAGAGCATCAGTAAGGGATTGACGATGGTGTAGTTCGTCTTATACAGAGGACACACCTGGAACTATATCTTCCAGCGGTCACCAGGTGTCCAAGTGTCCAGGTGTCCAGGTCACCAGGTGTCCAGGTGTCCAGCTGGTGTCTCGTCCTTCATATTATAGAGGAGGTGTATTTATGTTAGTGTCAGTGAGTGTAGCTCCCCGTGTCTGAGTTAACTTCCTTATAACTGAGTGTACGTTATAAAGCAATAACTGTAAATATAATTAAGTATATTATATTAGTGTATGTACCGCTGACTCACGCGACTCACGGCGAGTACATCGTTTGAGTTACATTAAGAATATTTGTTTTATTAATAAACTATTGCTCATTAAGTATAACATTATTGTAAATATACTATTATCATTAATTGTTTCGTAGATCGCTCGCGACACACACACACACACACACACACACACACACACACACACACACACACACACACATACACACACACACACATGTATATATAGAGTGTATATAAAGTAATAGTAATTTATTATATAATGTATGTAATAATTCTAATATATTAAAAGAAATGAGAGTTGTGCTTCTGAGACGTGTATGTTTGGTACAAGACAAACTTCAATGTACATGTACATACAGAGTGAATGTTTGTAGGTCGATTAGTTTAAGAGATACATACATACTGTATACAAGACGTACATACATACACGACAGATTAATAAATGTGTTCTTTATATAACGTGTTTCATTTAACAAACAAACACACACATTATATTGAGTATTTGTGTTTATAATAAAAACTACTTATAAAATGAAAATTGAACAGTGTTTTATTAACTCGATCCAAAAACAAACGACCTTCCCATGTACTTATTAATTTTATTATATATATAAAGTATTACGTGATGTTGTGATCCGTCTCGTGTATTAATGATAGGAAGAGAAAAACATTACAATGAAGAAGTCACTATAACGAGACACGAGAACTAATGTAATAAATAATAATACAATTACAAATATTAAATTTATAATATGTAGGGGAGAGTTGGTAATATCGTACTAGCATTTAAATCGTACCACTTCTAAATTTCCCATTTAATGAATATTTTTTTCTACACTGACAACGCCAATTCGTGGCCCTGTACCATTCCTCTTCACCCACTAGTCTAAATCGACGTGAGTTAACAACTGTGCAAGTAATATAAGAAAAACATTTTTTGTAGGAATTAATATAAATATTGTCGTACATTCGTAAGGAGATAACTCGTAAACAAGGTAAGCTAGAGTTATTCAGTTTTTTTTTATTGTTCCACAATTGTATACTAGATTATTGGGGGTTTTTGTTGCGTGTCTAAGTTTTGAGTTTATGCCGGATATTTGCTTTTGTTTTAGAAATGCCTTAGTTGGTTTAATCGTACCACTTGCAGTTGGTTAAATTGTACTGATACGATTTACCCGACTACCAACCGCAAGTACCTATAGTACTACCACAAGTACGTATAGTAAGTACTACCCAAGGCCAAAAACAAAAGTTATAAAAGGAAACGATCTCATTCCATCACCAGTAGCGATGATTCAGGAGAGACACTTGTTGTAGAACTAGATGATGATGATGACAGCGATGATTATCTTGAAAATATATGTCGAAAGTGCAATTGTTCTTACTATGATAAGAAGGGTCCAAAAGTTGATTGGATTCAATGCATTCGCTGTAAACGGTGGCTACATAAGACGTGTACTTCGAATCCAGACATTTGTGAAGATTATTTCCATTAAGAAATATGCACAATAATTATATCACAAATAACATTCTTGTTAACTGTTACTTTATTATTATAGTTTACTGTTTTTTTTTTGGCTCATTTGTATTAGTTATGTTGATTGATCTCATTATCATAGTATAATCATGTTATTTTACTGAGAAAGCTTATAGTTCCTTTATATAACCTAAGAGTTAAAAATTATGTTTCTATTACCTAAAAGATATAAATAATGTTGTTTTATTACTCACCTAACAGTTAAACATAAATAATTGGATTGAGAATTTTAATGTCTTTCATTCAGTGGTACGACTTAAACACCCATGGTACGATTTAAAGACTTAGTGGTACGATTAAAACGACTAGTCGGCTAAATCGTACCGATGGCAAGCCTCTATAAAAAAGCATTTTTAACAATGTTAGAATGATCGCAAGGATCTGTTCTCTTCTTCTTAGGAAGCTAAAATATGAAACTTTATTTTACATATGTATTAATTATTATAAGATGTGTTATAGTCGAAATATTTGAGTTAAAGTGAAAAGTGGTACGATATATCCGACTCTCCCCTATAACACATCATAACCTGTCTCATTTTCATTTATTTTTGCCTATATAACCTTTATATTTTAAATTATTTTAATATAAATATGGAATTTATATAAAAGTCATCTTCGTGAGTATCATCTATAACAAATCTAATAAATGTTTCTCTTCTTTGAAGTCACAGTTTATAAGTTGTATTCTTAGAATTAAGAGTTTTGCCTCAATTCCTAAATACGCTATATATTTTCCTAACTTTAAAATTACAACACATTTAACATATGTAGGTATATTAATATCAAACAATAATAATCTATATAAACATGACTCCAGACTTCAGCTTAAAGTCTCTTTTTTAATGTCATGTCTAACATTAATATAACATATTTCGTTTCATTAAATGAGGGGCTTTTAAAAATATATGAGTACTTAGATATAATGAAATATAAAAGCCTCATTGTACATACGACACTTAATATAAATAATGTTATATACAAGAAGTTGGCAACAGAAAAATAAACAGTTGAAAAATACATGGAGATAAATTATATAAAGTAATGTTTGTTTGTTTTAATATTAATATAAACATTGGAGCTTTACTGAGAAATTAATCTTCCCATACACACGTACTTTAAACTCTTAATAAAACTATAAACTACTAATAAGTATTAATAAGAAAAAACTCTTAATACCTAAATATTATTAATCAAGGTTATAATTAATGTTAATGTGATACAGATAACAATAAACAAATGTATGTAATTATAGTGTGAGTGTTGTACAACTGATTTCCATACAAACGACACACAACACTCGCTGCTAGCTCCTACCACAGAGCACCGAGCTGCTCCAACACTAATGTTGTAGGACGGGGCTTGAAGCGATTAATAATACTGGTGGACATTTATAATAAACAAAACAAACATTAATATATTAATATGAATTGTTTGAGTGCAATTAAATTGACGAATTTTTAAAAAAATATGGCTCTTATAAGTTTAAGTACGAATAATCTTTTGACGATATGTTGTCATGTAAATATTAAATATCATTAACATTATATATTCTTATTATAATATACATATTAATGTTATATTCCGGGGCGGGTCACAATGGGCTGGCGGGCTCGACTCTAAAGTAGTTCCGCACGGAACGCGCGCATTAGCAGATATTAAGATTGTGTTATTAATTGAAGTAATTTGTTTGTTTGTTATCACTGTATCAGACTCGGCTTGTGACGCGACCGCTCATAATAAACAGAGGTACTACGGAGCGGACTAATTACAACACTACTTACACTTTATTATATCATTAGTTTTGTTTAATAATGTTTGTTAGATTAGAAAATGTTGTAACATGAAAACTACTTAAGAATATTTATCATTTCATTACAAGTTTCAAGATTTAGAAGGTTCGAGTTTTTCCTTAAATTTTGTGTCCTTCAAAGGTTGATATAAACAAGTTATATAATTTTCTAATATTTTTTTTTAATTTACTTTGAAAAGAGTAACTGGGTACTTTTTTTCATTTAAGTAGTGATTTTAAGGTAGCTTTTTAACAAAATAGATACAATTATTTGATTTTGGCGTTGATTTAAAATATACTTACTATTTTACAACCAAGTACTTTTAGAAGTTTCATTAAAAAAATGTTTGTATGTAATGACAATTTAACATTCCTTAAAATAAACTTTATAATTTTAACAATTGAAAAATGACGGAGATTCCATATGTACCTACTACATGTTTTTTAGTACAGAAATAGCGACATCTGTTGTTGAGTAGCAAGAAAAGTTACAAAGATGTAGTTTGAATAATGTTTATATTAATTTTTGACTCATTTTGTTCCATAATTTAAACATATTAGTTTTTATGAAAAACAACATAGTTATAAAGCTTGCATTAAATTTAATAAGTCTGTAATGGCTTTCAAACAAAGGCCTCTAATTAATTTCTCCTTCTGCCACGGTGGCGCTAGTGGCTCCGCGATTTTTTAATTAGTATGAGGACTGAGGTCTGGCCGGAGGTGCGAGTGCGGGAGGACGCGATGTCCAAAATTTGCAATTCAAAGCCGCTGAAAAAACCCTAAAACAAACGACACATAGCCCTTTGGTGTTCGATCTTGGACAGAGATGTGCATGGAGTCGCCAGTTGATAAAAGACAACAAAAATAGTTAAATATGTTACAAGCTTGTTAATGTGGATAATAAATGAAATGACTTAAATAATATTCAGGGTACTATAAAAAGAAATAAAAAAATGATAAGTTAAACGGTCCTTTAAAAAGGATACAAAATTATGTAAATAATGTGCTAGGAACTCTAAATTAATCAGTTTGTCCTCGGTACCAATATCCAGTGTTATAACTTAACTCTCAAAAATCTAAAAAGCATTTAAAATTATGCAAGTGATTGACTTGCGGAGTGATTGTGATGACACTTTTAGCTGGTACTTACGACCTAATGAATTAATTAATTACTATGAATTACTTATGACCTAATGAAATAAAAAAAAATCAGGTGTATGTAAAAAAATCAGTATGTAATCTAAAAGAATTGAATGAAATTTTAAATCAATTATTTAAGTTTTGACTACATCCGCAGTTATCCTTAAACGAAGTTGTATTGTATTTTTCTAATATAACATCAACTCCACAGCTTCCCTGTCCGTGCGGACTCGCTCGGGGGCGAATTTCGTTAGCGTTCATTTGTTTTGTCGTAATTGCAGGA